CAGTGCAGGTATCTTAGGATTGCCAGATCCGAGCCTGCTTCAGGCGCCTTTCAGCTCCAAGGGTCGAGCCGTTTTTCCTTCTCCCTCCTCTTCGGGGGGCGCGCGGGGGCCCGACCTGCATCCAACACCTTCCTGCTTGGTGTGTCTGCCCGCAACTTCCGGCCGACGGGTCACCGCACCAATCGTCGGGGGCGGAAAAGAGGGGGGTGATGACTAGGGGGGGGTGGACATCATGGCGTGGGCCATGACATTTCCCCAGATCTCATGGCGCCTCTTCTTATTCCATTACGTCCCTGGCCCCCCCGCTGGACCGCGCACATGCCGCCGGTCATGGTTTGCACCTCCCCCTCTTGGACACTCCCCTCTTGGCCGCTCCCGAAATCGGGCGGTGCCGATTCGTGCCACATCCCTCGCCCGCGCGCGCGCGCGCGCCGTGGCCCCGGACAGTCTCCGTCGTGAGCGCCCCAGGCCTTCGCAGCCCAGGCCACCAGGCACGGCCCGCCACAGGGTAGCTCTAACGGGCACTGTAGCAGCCTGTCCCGAAAAGGACGCCTGCGTCGCCGCTCTCCAGAGCAGTGGCTGCGCCGACCGAGCAGTCGCTGCATACGACGAGCTGATTCACAGGCGTGCTGCCGAGCTCGACATCGTACACTCGGCGTCCCCCCAGCATACTTGTACTATATGTGCGTCGCCCCCCCCCAGGGGCGACGCGCGCACCAAGAAGTCTTATAGTATATGCGTCGCGGCGGGCGCTTTCTGGCCACACCTCTCGGGAAACGATATACTACAAGATGGGTATACCACATGCTTCGGTCGGACGTGCGCCTCCAAGCAGAACATGTAGTCTTAGTATGTCTTTATGCGTCCCATATCCGAAAACAAACCGCTCCAACCAGCACACTCTGCGGGGCAAGCGTGGGAACCAGTGTGGGAGTTCAAAGGTCCGCCACGCCATGCGCACCACTCCCTGACGCGCGGACGGGCTCCATCTGTGACTCACCAGGGTCCGCGGCCTCGGCCGATGCCCACCGTGGGCATCGACGTTCTTCCGCCTGTTCGCTTAGGTGCACCAGGCTGGGAGGGGCCCGTCTCCACTGCGCCCACCAGGGCCGCGGACGGCACGCCACAATCACACCAGCAGCACTTCACCACGCGCGCCAGACCTGAGACAACCACCCCGAGCCAATCGGACGGCGCTTGGTGTTGTGCCCGCTGCCGGCCATCCACACGAAAACCACGCTCGGCTCCCCGAACATGCAAGTGCGGGCGATGATCAGTTAAGACTGTGCGTACCAAAGAGGCCAATGCTTCACCCCGCCTTCTGACTTTAACGATGCAAGTGGAACGCCGGCGTACATCGAAGAAAACTCGTGCATGCCTCTGCACAGAATATGCGAAAAGCGCGAGGCAAACGCCCTGAGTGCCATCAACACCGACCACCCAAACCACGAAATCCGCATCTTCGTTCACCTCAGGCCGAGCTGGTGCGCTCTTCCCTCTCTTCCTTCCACGCGCCAACGAGATGATGCTTGCCAGCGTGGGCCCCGCACGGTGCTCTCCTGGCCATGCATGTCGTGCAGGCTGCGTGGAGCAATCTATGTGGTGCAGTTTTTGTGGTGAAGCCTCTGTTGTGCCACCGGAGTCGTGCATTGAGAGTGGTGCGGCTTACGGGGTACAACCTGTTTTGTTCAGTCTATGTGGGCCAACCTATGTGGCACAATCCATGTAGTGCAACCTATATTGTGCAATTCTACTGTGTGCGATCAAGGTTGTGTGCTCAATGTGGTGCGATCGCAGTGGTGCAATCTATTTGAACCCGTCAGCGTTGAGCCCTACATTTTGTACAATATAGACTCTGCGATCTATGTCGTGCAACTTGTGTGGTGCAATCTACGGTACAATATCCAGCGGCGTGCGGCATGTCCCGCCACCGTGCCTGGGTTGTGTCTGTTGTGGGTGATAGGCCTCCTAGATTTTCGTTGGAATCTCGTGGGGGGCCTCTTGGAAGCTCCTTTCGAGGCAGTTTTGAGACCTGTTGGGGGCCGTTTTTCGGGCCTTCTGGGGGCCTCTTGGGGCCTCTCGGGGCTTCTTGCCGTAGCCATTTTGGCTCAAGTTCCCAACCTTTTTCGGGGGGTCGGGAGCATGCCGTGGCCATCGTGGCTCAGTGGCGCCACCCGCGTGGGGTCTCCTTCGGGGCGCGGGGCGGCGGTGGGGCCGCGGGGCGCAGCGCGAGGGGGTGGTCCTCCTCCCCGCTCGCCTCCAGGGGCCGCCTCGCTGGTGGCCCGGTGGCGGCCTGGCTGGAGCCCGTAGCGAGGCGGACGCGGCCTGGACGGCGACGGTGGCGGCGGCCCGCCATTTCGCCGAGGTGGAGTGCTACCACCTCGGCGCGGACGACGGCGCCGAGTCCGAGGAGGACGAGACCGTCCCCCTGGACGGCGTGGGCTTGCCCTTGGCGGGCGCCCGCTGGGTGGGCGCCCTCGAGCGGGCGTGGCTCCCGTGCGGTGCGGCGCAGGGCCTGCGCGCGGTGGAGGGCGTGCTGCAGGTGGCGATCGTGGAGCTAGCGGCCGACGCCGACGGCCTTGTCGTGCTGAAAGCCGAGGCCGACGGCGCGGCCGAGTGCGCGCACGTGCAGAAGCTGGAGCAGGCTGCCGAGGGCGATTGGGAGCACATTGAGCTGTGCTGCCAGCTCACGGCCGAGCTCCGCGACGCGCAGGAGTTCAACGTTGAGAATAAGACCGGTTCCATCCACATCGGACTGTTCAGAAACTACTTCGGTCAGATTACAACCACTGGAAACGGACTGATCGCAAACTGAAGGATTCCTATACACATTTTTCTGGAGAGCGCCGGATTGCAGCCGATCCAAGAGCTTATGCCGAATTTCTGTAGAGTGTTAGCAGAGCTTGTGCAGAACTTCTGAAGGGCTTCTGCAGAGCTTCCGAAGAACTTCTCAAAAGCTTCTGAAGAGCTTCTGAAACAAAAACTCCTGAAGAACTTACGAGGAGCTTCTGAAGAACTTCCGAAGAACTTCCTGACGAGCTTCCGAAGAGCTTCTGACGAGCTTCTGAAGAGCTTCAGCAGAGCTTCAGCAGAGCTTCTGAAGGGCTTCTGCAGAGCCTCAGCAGAGCTTCTGAAGGGCTTCTGAAGAGCTTATGCAGAGCTGATGAAGAGCTTCTGCAGAGCTTCTGCAGAGCTTCTGAAGAGTTTCTGAAGAGCTTCAGCGGAGCTTCTGAAGAACTTTTGCAGAGCTTCTGCAGAGCTTCTGACGAGCCTCTGCAGAGCTCTGCAGAGCTTCGGAAGAGCACCTGGAGAGCGTCTGCAGAGCTTCTGCAGAGCGTCTGCAGAACTCTCAGCGAGGCCTCTGAGAGGCCTCAGCGAGGCCTGTCATAAGCTTCTCTGAGGCCTTTCAGAGGCTTCTCTGAGGCCTCAGAATTTTTCTGAGACACTTCTCTGGGGTCTCTAGGAGGCTTCTCTGGGGGGCTTCTCTGAGACCTCTGAGAGGCTTCCCTGAGAGGCTTCTCTGAGGCCTCTGAGAGGCCGAGGCCTCGGCGAGGACCCAACGAGGCTTCTGAGAGGCTTCTGAGAGGCTTCCCAGAGGCGTCTGAGAGGCTTTCGAGAAGCCTTATTATGAGCTCTGTTGGGCGCTCTATTCGGAGCTCTATTGAGCGCTCTATTGGCGCTCTATTCGGAGCTCCACTTGCGCGCTCTATCACGAGCTTTATTGCGCGCTCTATTTGGAGCTCTGTAGGGGCGTTCTCCTCGGAGCTCTATTGGGCGTTTGATTGGCCGCTCTATGGGGCGCTCTATTCGGAGCTATTTGACGCTCTATTCGGCCTTTTGGGTGATTCCCGAAGATTACCGAATATTCCCGGAAAGGAGACATGCCATTGTAGTCGGGAGTCTCGAGACGGTGGTCAATGCAAACGGGGGTCCGCCAGAGCGCCAGATCTTGCAGGATCCTGCGAAGATCCCCTCTGGCCGACCCAGGTCAGCGAGCCGCTGGTGGCCGCGAGTCGGCCGCGCATATTGGCTGAACCGGGTTTTCGAAGCCCCGCGTTGCAGTTTTTTCCTGCGTGGTATTCTTGGTTTCCTGCTGGCCCGGGTCTGGATTGACCCGGGTCAGAAGGTCCCCGATGTCGGAGTTCTTAAGATTCCCGAAGAGACCCTCTTATGATTCTGGCGAATTCAGCAGGCGAGTCACAATGGGATCGTATGCGAATACATCGGAATCGTATGCGCATGACGTAGGAATCGTATGCGGAGCGCATCGGTTTCGTATGCGAAGCACATAGGAAACGTGTACGGACCATGGCCACGTTCGAGCTCAAGTACATGCTTAGCTGAGATCATGATCGGCCGTCGGTGGTCGGACCGATCGCAACCGCTTTTTCTGATTCTCATTGGGCGGCTCATGGGAGTTGTGCACCCAGAAGCGCTCTTATGATCTATCTCTGAATCGAAACCTTCTTGAAGCGACCCAAGAACATCGCAATCACTTTGGGCCGATCGCAACTGGTTGTGATCAGTCCGCAGTGGTCGACGATCGGTCCGAAGTTTTTGCGATCGGTCTCCACCCCGCTCAAACTTGCGCTGGCGCAGGAGGTCACGGGTCCCATGGCGCCGGCGCAGGGGGTGTGAGGCCAAGGATGCGGCCGGGGAGGCCGCGGAGCTCCGCGCAGTGCCGCCGCCCCCGAAGCTCGTGAACTTACGGGTCCTACGGTGACGAGGGCCCCTAAGAGCGACGAGGTCGGCGCCGAGGGTGGCGGCAGCGAGGGCGTCGCGGAGGGGGCCGCGGTCGTCGCGGAGGTCAGCCGCGGGTTCCGCGCCGAGGGCGGCGACCGCGAGTGCGTCGTGGGGGGGGCCGTGATCGCCGACGCAGACGGCGGTGGGATGTCTTCCCAGGGCGGCGTCAAGATGCACGTCGCGAAGCGGTCATGCTGGGCCGCGCCGCCTCTCCGTGGACAGCGAGGGTCCGACGGCGATGAGGGCTGCTATGAGAGGCGAGGTCGGCGCCGAGGGTGGCGGCGGCGAGGGCGTCGTGGAGGGGGCCGCGGTCGTCGCTGAGGTCGGCCGCGGTCTCCGCGCCGAAGGCGACGGCCGCGAGTGCGTCGTGGGGGAGGCCGTGATCGCCGACGCAGACGGCGGTGGGATGTTTCCCCAGGGCGGCGTCAATATGCACGTCGCGGAGCGGTCATGTTGGGCCGCGCCGCCTCTCCCGAAGCTCGTGGACAGTGAGGGTCCGACGGCGATGAGGGCTGCTATGGGCGACGAGGTCGGCGCCGAGGGCGGCGACCGCGAATGCGTCGTGAGGGGCGCCGTAATCACCGACGCAGGCGGCGGTGGGATGTCTCCCCAGGGCGGCGTCAAGGAGCACTTCGCGAAGCGGTCATGCTGGGCCGTGCCGCCGTTCCCGAAGCTCGTGGACAGCGAGGGTCCGACGGTGATGGGGGCTGCTTCGAGAGACGAGGTCGGCGCCGAGGGTGGCGGCGGCGAAGGCGTCGCGGGGGGGCCGCGGTCGTCGCGGAGGTCGGCCGCGGTCTCCGCGCCGAGAGCGACGAGCGCGAGTGCGTCGTGAGGGGGGCCGTGGTCGCCGACGCGCGCGGCGGTGGGATGTTTCCCCAGGGCGGCGTCAAGGGGCACGTCGCGAAATTGTCATGCTGGGCCGCGCCGCCTCTCCCGAAGCTCGTTGACAGCGAGGGTCCGACGGCGATGGGGGCCGCTATGAACGACGAGGTCGGTGCCGAGGGTGGCGGCGGCGAGGGCGTCGTGGAGGTGGCCGCGGTCGTCGCGGAGGCTGGCCGCGGGTTCCGCGTCGAGGGCGGCGACGGTGAGTGCGTCGCGATGGAGGCCGTGGTCGCCGTCGCGGGCGGCGGTTGGATGTCGCCCCAGGGCGGCGTCAAGTGGCGCGTCGCGAAGCGGTCGTGCTGGGCCGTGCCGCCTCTCCCGAAGCTCGTGGACAGCGAGGGTCCGACGGCGATGGGGGTCTCTATGAACGACGAGGTCGGCGCCGAGGATGGCGACGGCGCGTGCGTCGTGGACGGGGCCGTGTTTGTCGCGGAGGTCGGTCGCAGATTCCGCGCCGAGGGCGGCGACCGCGAGTGCGTCGTGAGGGAGGCTGTGATCGCCGACGCGGGCGTCTGCGGGGTTTCTCTCTCCAGGGCGGCGTCAAGGAGCACGGCGCGAACAAGTCGTGCTGGGCCGACGCTGCGGCTCTCGGCGTGTCGCGGACGTGCTGGGCTGACGCTGTGGACGACAGCGATGGCGATGGCTGCGGTCGGGGTTATTGGAGCCAGGTCCTTCTGGCCAACCAGGCCGGTTTCACGCGGCGCGACAGGGCGGCGGCTGATCGGGTCGCCGCAGACCGCCTTGTGCACGACGTGCTGCTCGTGCTCCCCGTGGCCGAGGAGGGCGTCGTCTCCCAGGGCGTGAGTGTCGTGCCGCCTCCTGCCGAGTAGCGCGCGGGTAAGCACCAGGAGACGACGAGAGCCGGGGTGGAGGCCGTGTTCAGGGCCAGGAAGGAGGAGAGGAAGGCGGTGTTGGCTGCCATCCCCGACGTCGCCGAGACCTGCGCCCGCGGGTGGGCGCGCCTCAGCGGCCAGATCGCGGAGTTGGAGCTGCGAGCGCGGGGTCCCCGATGGTCGAGCTTCCCTTCTTTGGTCCCTCCTGAGGTGGGTGCCAGGAGCCGAGCGGCGGTGTGGATCGCCACGGCATGGTCTTGTATGCGTACTTGAGCGTGCTGCTCGGATGGATGGCGGACGATTTGATTGAACGCAGTTGGATGGGCGCGCACTTGGCATTAATGCTAGGTGTGGGGGGGCGCGCGGTGGAATCCACCCACGCCTCTGAAGGAGCAGCCTCTTGGGCCCGCCCCTTGGGGCCTCCTGGGTGCCCTTTGGGGCGGGAGTCTCGGATGTCGGTTCGTGGTCCCTCTCTGGGGCGCCTTATGGGGCCGTCTTGGGGCCATCGTGGGCCGTCTTGGGCGCCTGTTGGGCCGTCTTGGGGCCTTCTTGGAGGCCTCCTGGGCCGTTGTGCGGTGGTCTTGGGAGCCTCTTGGGTCGTCTTAGAGCGTCGGGAGACCGAAAAGACGAGAACGCCAAGATCCTTCAACAACGACGGAAAATCTATGATTGTACCTTTCGGGGCCCTCTTGTATGCTTGTTGGGGCGCCTTGGAAGCCTGCGCCTTCTTGAGGCCATCTTGGGCGTCTTCGAGCGATCGTTCGGCGATTCAGGGCCCTCTTGGATTTGCTTTGGGGCCTTTCCGGCCGTCATGGAAGCTTTGGAAAACCCCAGGTCTGGCGCCATGGCCGCCCAGGGGCCCCCTGGGAGTAGGGCCGGTGCGCGCGGCGAAAGGCGGCGGGAGAGGGGGGGTTCATCATAATATAACAGAAACCCTACTAAAACAGCATTTGGCATTCTAGCAAGCCTCAGCGTGCCAGGGGGCACGGTGGCGGAATGGTGGTGCATCCTGCGTGATACAATCTGCGTGGAGCAACCTATGTGGTGCAGTCCAGGTTGTGCATGTTAGGTTCTGCAAGACATGTGGTGCGACTTGTGAGGTACGATATCTGTTGTACAATCTATGCGGGCCAGTCTATGTCATACAATCTAGGTGGCGTATTTTTGTCCAAGATGTATATTTTTTCCATATATGTATGGTATACCGGTAAATTCGTGCAATACGTGGTGCAACGCGTGTGGCGCAACCTCTTTGATGCAGCCAATGCGGTGCAATACATGCTGTGTGATTTATGTGGTGCGCAGTATGTGTGGTGCAGTTTATGTCGTACAATATATGTTGTGCAACGTGCAATATACGTCGTGCAGTATATGTGGGGCGACGACGGCGGCCACATGACTTCCAGACCGAAAACACGGCCCAGGCGACGGGCGGCGACGAGGCGGCGACGGCGGCCACATAGCCGCCAGACCGGAGACACGGCCTCCTTCCTTAGAACAAAAGTAAGAACCTCTAGGTGACAGCGTTGCTGGGAGAAGTGCCGCGATCCTCTTTCCCTGGATTCCGTGCGGAGGATAACGGGTCCCCTCTGGGTGCTTTTTCGACACAGGATTTCAACAGTTTTTTTTTTTTGTATTTCTTCTCGAGACTCTCGCGGCTATTTATAATCCGATCGCTTCGGTGCTTCAAAATGTTGCTCCCGCTGCAGCGTGGACCTCATTTGCGGATCTGTGCTTTGCCCCCGTCGTGCAGATTGCCGCTCTCGCCACAGCGCGGGCCACCTTTCAGGACCCGAGTCTTTCTTCCTTGTTGTCGCCCCCTCATTTCCCCTCTTTGGTCCTCCTGTTCCTTCCGTTCCTTCCGCTCCAGTTCCTGCTGCTGCTGTCCGTCCCCGTCATTTTCCCTCCGGCTCATCCTCCTGCTCACCTGCCACCTCCTCCTCCTGTGCGCGCAACTCGCCTTTGTCTGATTGCGCATAACACGATGTGGTCTCTTGGCTGGAATTGCAGGTCGGCAACGACACGCGTCCGCAGACGGAGAACAATCAGCGCAATGGGAAGGGATTGGAGGGAGGGAGGGATTGGATGACAGATCAGGCGCGAACGCACCTAGCTTGTCTCTCTACTCTCTCCTCTCCTCTTTCTCTCCTCTCTCCTATCTCCTATCTCCTATCTCCTCTCCTCTTTCCTCTCTCCCATCTCCTCTCCTCTCCTCTTCTTTCCTCTCCTCTCATATTATCTCTTCTCTTCTCTCCCCATGTCTCTCCTCTCCTCTCCTCTCCTCTCCCCTCCTCTCCCTCTGTCCTCTCCTCTCCTCTCCTCTCTTCTCCTCTCCTCTCCAATCTCCTCTCCTCTGCCCTCTCCTCTCGCCTCTCCCCTCTCTCCTCTCTCCTCTCCTCCCTCCTCTCTCCTCTCCTCTCTCCTCTCCTCTCCTCTCCTCTCCTCTCCCCTCCCCCCCTCTCCTTTTACTCTCCTCTTCTCCTCCTCCTCCTCCTCCTCCTCCATCTCCTCTTCCTCCTCCTCCTCTTTTTCCTCCTCTCCCTCCTCCTCCTCTCTCCTCGAGCGGGCACCAAGCGCTGGGCGTTGCGCCTCCTTCCAGGGCACGCCGCGCTGAATCCCCGGAGAGCGCCCGCCCCCCCGCCAGCGCGGGCGCAGCCGCCCGCCCTAAGCGCGGCGGGCGTTCCTTGATTAGTACTCTGTTTTTTTGGTTTGTTTTTCCCCCCGAGGGCGGCCGCGGCAGCGGCGGGGAGCGAGGTTCGCCGTTGCCCTCCCCCTGCTCCTCCTCCCTGTCCTCCTCCTCCCGCTCTCCTTCTCCTCCTCCCGCTCTCCTCCTCCTCCTCCTCCTCCTCCTCTTTCCCCTTCTCCTCAATCTCCCAGCCCCCCTCCTCCTCCCCGTCCTCTTCCTCCTCCTCTTCCTCCTCCTCCTCTTCCTCTTCCCCCCCTTCAGATCCCCTCCTCCCCCTTCTTCCCCGCTCTCCTCCCCCGTCCTCCTCCCCGTTCTCCTCCCCCCCCCCGTCCTCCTCCGCGGATCTCGCCGCCCTCCGTGGGCCCTGGCAGCCCTCGGCCTGTCGCTGCGCAACCCGCGCCCGGCATTCCTCGCTCCCTCCCGCCCCCTGGGCCAGCGCTGCCCGTGGAGCCAGGCCTCCACTCGATCGCCCCAGCGCGGGCAAAACACGCCCTGCCCCCTGCCCACCTCTCTCGAGTCGAAGCAGAACAGCCGGCATACTCCAGATTTCGTCACGAAAGGGAGGGGGTCACAGCCCCTCCCAGGCGGGAAATTTTAGACCCCCCCAGGCCAGCCATCCAGGGGCCGCCTTTTGCCCAGACCCCGCGGAACCCTCCAAGAGACCCCCTCAAGTCAGATCACCCCTCTCTTGTTGTGGAATCAGGAGTAAATATGCTCTTGCTGAGCTCCGCGCGGATTTCCTGGGTCTGCGCTGGGGCCCCCCCTGAACGCCGCTATTCCGCGCAGCCAGGGAGCGGGGCCTGGCGCAGATTCAAGACATTCGCGCGGAGCTCCGAAGGAGGACCCAGACATCCGGCTGCTCCAACTTTTTCGATGCTCGGGCCCCAGAGATCCGGACCACTTCCCCAGGGCCGGTTTTTCGTCCCGAGTCATTTTTTGATGGTCCCGAGGCCCGGCGAGGGCCCTTGGATGTCGAAAACGGCCCAAACCCCGCTGCTCCAGTTTTTTGCAGCATCTGATCTCGGGGGAGGTCTACTCCTCTGGGGGGAGTGCCGAAATGGCCCATAGCCTCCTAGATGACCGCGCCGCATGGCCGACGCCTCGGCGACGCGGCTCGCTTCGGGGCCCGGCTTTCTTCGCCCCAGCGTCGCCGGCGCACCAGCAATGCATCGGCGACGGGGGCTCAAGCGACGGGGGTGAAATCAGACGGTGGTCGGTCAGTCAGAGCGCCGGATCTTGCAGCATTCCGCAGGGCCAGGGCCGCACGGACACGGGCTTGGGTGCAGGATCCTGCAGCATCTCCTGCGGGAGAGCCTGCAGCATCTCCTGCAGAAGTCTGCCGGATCCTGCCAAGCCTGACTGTCGGCGTCACCCCATCATACCAATACTATGTGTGCGTCGCCCCCCCGGGGGCGACGCGCCTACCGAGAAATTTTGCACTATATGCGTCATGGCGGGGGCTTTCTGGCCACAACGCTCGGGAAACGATCTACTCAAGATGGGAATACTACATGTTCGGGTCGGACGCGCGCCTCCAAGGAGGGCATCTAGTACTAGTTGTCTCTGTGCGTCCCATGGCCAGGGTCTGGATTGACCCGGGTCAGTAGATCCCCGAGGCGATGCGGAGAGGACGGCGACGCCGTGGAGGAGGAGGAAGGAGGAGAGAGGAGGAGGAGAGGAGGAGGGAGGAGGAGGAGGAGGAGGAGGAGGAGGAGGAGGGGAGAAGGGGAGGAGGAGAGGGGGAGGAGGGGGAGGAGGAGGAGGAGGAGGAGGAGGAGGAGGAGGAGGGGAGGACGAGGGGGAGGGGGAGGAGGAGGGGGGCCGTCCTCCGACACCACCTGCTCGGGCTCCGCTCGGGAGGGCCTCTCTCTATCAGAATGGGGAGGGGGCGAGCGGGGACGACGGCTGGCAGCAGCGCCTGCGGCTCCACTTCTGGGCGGGGCTCGCCGTCGGGTTTTCGGGGAGGGCGTCGTCCGTCGGCTGTCTCCAGCAGCGGTGGCGGTTCGCTTCGGGCACTAGCTTTGAGTCGGGCCTTCTCCTCTACACGAAGAACATTCAAGAGTAGTCAGAAGTGATCTGGTGGCGACTTCGTTTTTTTTTTTTTTTTTTTTTTTTTTTTTTTTTTTTTTTTTTTTTTTTTTTTTTTTTTTTTTTTTTTTTTTTTTTTTTTTTTTTTTTTTTTTTTTTTTTTTTTTTTTTTTTTTTTTTTTTTTTTTTTTTTTTTTTTTTTTTTTTTTTTTTTTTTTAAAGTTTTTTTTTTTTTGTTGTTGTCCCCCCCGTTTGTTTGTTGGTTTTGTTTTTTTGTTTTGTTGTTGTTATTAGTAGTATGATTCTCATCATTATTACCATTATTAATTTTGTCATTGGTATGGTTGTCTTCATTTTTATCTCTATTATTATTTCGGTATTATTATCATTCGTACTATTCGCATTATGATGTTTATTATTATTCTTAGTATTAGCAGTATTACTATACTTAGTAT